TTTCTGGTGAGGAGAGAACAGTAATCCTTCAGAATAATACCTGGATTACTAGTTACGTTTAAGAAGCCCAGACTTAACCATTTTTTCAAAGGTGCCTAACTTATTTGTCAGAGAGACACTTTCCCCATCACCTCCCGCAAAAGGCATCAGGACACAGCAGTTCCGCCTGGTAGCTACTCTGAATTCTTACTGCACTTTTGCTTCAAATCCCAATAGTAGCTGCATAGCTCAGTAAAAGACCTCCAGCAGTCAAGCCCAACAGCCCTGCTGCAAAGCGTATCACAGAGCTGTCATCATGGAAATATTTTAACCCTTCTGCATAAGAGGGTTAAAAGTGATAATTACATGACCCAGCATGGGTATAGATCATTCTAACAGCATAGACAAATTCATAAAAAAGATAAAGAAAGCCTCCTTAATGTGAACCAACTATCACAGCATTTCTCTGGAAACAACAAAATAAAGCTTATTAACTTCTCATTCCAAGGAGCCTCTCTAGGGCTTAGAATATACTGACATTCCAATTACAGCGTGAGGCCAATCAGTGCAAATTTACAATTTTGACTTGCTAATTGTGTGGCTAAACATGTATAATTATGCAGATTTTCATTTTGGTGTCTCAGTGATCCTTTTGAATCTCTGCTCTAGGACACCAACATGCATTCGCCAGAGGCATCCTGAGCAGAACATTTGATATGAACACTCCACACAAGACATTAAAGTGCCTGGGCACAGCTGGCATTGACAAAATTGTATTAAGCTTTCTATGATGCCAAATATTTTACTAACAGCAAGAAAAAGAGATATTTGCGATTGCAAAGCTCTTGCAGGCTCAAAGTGTAGCACCTCCTCAAGATCTTCATCAGCTAAATGTATCTCTGAGGTCAGCCTCCCTCACAGGGGAAACCCAGTTATTTGGTTTATTTATATGATTCTTTTAGTCAGTACTAGCAGAAAACAGAGACAGATCCTCCCACCTCGATTAACTACGTAAAAATTGCACACACACGTTACACAGGACATTACACAGCTTTTAAAAATGAGAACGGACAGAAGAGGGGACAACGGATCTAATTTATCCAAAAGAAAACTAGACTGTGTATCAGGACTTGAAGAGCTGCTTTCTATTATTGACAAATAAGCCATGCTGAGGTATGTTTCATTGCTAAAGAAGGGCCCCAATCTAAACAAAAGAAAGTGATTGTGGTATCCCAAATCGCTATTAAGCAAAATCACAATTTATTTCAATTAAAAAAAGAACATCACATACAAGACTGAGTTTTAACACTGTTGTCACCACTATTAGTCTTTTGTTCCTATGTTTCCTACTTATTACTCTGAAAAAACGTAAATTTGGAATGTTTTTTCAAAGAAGACAAAGTAAAAACAATACCAATGCCACAGATCCTTCCTCCTACCAGCCTCATGACAGCTTTGAGTCATCTGACTGTGCTCAGCCAGCAAGGATAAAAAAAATCTGCCACTTAGTGCAATGTCGAGGCAAGCACAGCAGGCGGGCAAGACAGCGAGCAGAAACTGCAAGGGAGAATGGGAACATACCAGTGGAGAATAAGTGACAGAAGGGCATCACACAGCCAGCCGGAAAACTCAATAGTAACCAGCCATCGAAGAAAAGTAGGGAGAACTGTTCCCTGGGCTTTAGTAAACACTTCAGATTAGTGATCCCACAGAACCAGCCCTTTAAATGCAAAAATCTTGAATTGTTTTGATATCTTAAGGTGATGCTTGTTCTCTCACCACAGAAGGAAAAAGCGTATTGTGTGCTGATCTTATTGGGTTCAGTCATACTACTTCTGCATACACAGGAAAGAACATCCAAAACACAGGCATAATTACCGCCTAAGAGTTGCCTACATTTTTAGCAAATAGTAACTATAAACATTAATCATTGCTTGCCAAATACAATAACTCCTAACTGCCATTTAATGGCTAATTACCACTGAAGTAACACAGTAAGAGATTTTACAAAGCAATCTGACTCCTTCAAAAGATATAACAAAATGTGTCTAAGATTGAAAACAACATAGAAGTGATGTTACTTGTTTCTCCAAACTGTTGAATTTAACATGCTAAAGAAACTGCAAGTTTTTTTAACATCTCACACAACTCTCTTCAATAATAATTTACATGCAATTTAAGAAAAAAAAAAAACAACTGATGATCTCTCTCATCTTTTAGCAGGACCTGTACTAGAGACTTCGCTATTGGAAAATGACCTGAAAACACAGCAAGTTATTCTCAGATCAGATAGATTACCTCATGTAAAACGGCACAAAAAGTTAATGCATAAACTTCAAACTCGTAAAAGGAAGTATGTTTCTGCCCACACCTACTAGTATACAGAACTGTCTTAAATTTTAGTTCCATCCACAGAAATTTAAAGTTGTCAAAACAGGGCAAAAAGCTAACATGGAGCTCAGTAACATTAACAGTGGTTTATAGACTTCCTCATACCAAGAGCTGTGCTTGGACCCAGCCCTTCATTTCTCAACAGCTGACCAACACAGGCTCTTGATTTTATATCTTAAAAGCCACCCTGCAATCCATCATGGGTGGCCAAGTCACTACATATGTAAAATAAATTTGAAAGTCTGCGTTTCCGTTAACCTGTTGTCTTCTATAGCCAAATTTTCAGATAATGTCATTACAGACGACTAGAAGATGATCAAAACTGCATGCAGCTCCTGGTGGGTAGCGGTGATGACCACCTTTTTGGGAAAAAAATCCTAAATTCCTGGCATTGCCAGTGAAAGCAGCCATTTAAATTACACTTTTATGTACCCCCAAAATCCACTGGGATTGAACAAGCTCCTAGTGGAAGACAGCCTACTGGCATATCGAAATCTGGCCGGTTTTGTTATGATTTGTGTCCTGGTTTCTCAACATTAGAAAACGCACGTTAACTTGGAACTGTCAAAATCAGCCCTCAAAAATCTGACTGACTAATATAGAGTTGGTTGCTGTGAGGAAGAGATTTCCTGATCTTCTGCTTATAGCGCTGGAATGGCAAACTTAAGTATTAATAACAGTATCTCAGATGGATTTTGGAGTTCCAGACATCCACCAAAGCATTCACTGGTAACAATGGGAAAGCTCACCCTGATTTTTGAGGATATGCTTTATTTACTGTTCTAACTAAACGTACTTGGAGCCATGTTTGGGTTCAACACCGCTAAAAAGCAATGCAGATTCTCTGCCAATAAAATAACGTACTGGGAAAAACAGTAACTGTGACTACTTCTCTCCTCGTCCCAGCCACTGGCATACACAAGAGACTGATGTGCATGGGTTTGTGTAGGCAGCACTGACAAATATTAGGTATTTAACTGAAAGAGTCTCTTCACTGGGTAGCAAAATAAGTCTTCCAGGAGGAAAATGGTGATTTTCCACAGAAACGCTTTGTTGCCAGGTTCCAGGGAAAATGCTCAGTTACCCTCTACTTATACCACAACCATTACTGACGTTTCACCTGACTTTGATAACCACTCGGACAAATACTCAAGACCTCTGTATTCTTTCTTCACCTCTCAAAATTAGTTTACGACAGAAGCAGGGGTAAAAACATACCCTAGTTTTCTTCACAAACTTAAAAGCCAAAAAGAGACTATGAAATTACAAGCTTAACCTTCCTAAAAGTTTTCCTTAACCTTCTTTTCAGGCAGGCCAACCTTACAACACCTGTGAAGTGTTCCACCACGTGTTTCCTCAGCATTTCTTACTCGGTCTGGGCTTAACTGTCCACCTGCACACGCCTTTGCCATCGACTCTACGGCAAGCTCGTCCACAGCAGATGGAACTATCTTCATCAGAAGGTGGGATTTGCCCTCCCACCTTCTGTATGGGACAGAGGGGTTCGTTCCCTTGCTCCTGTCCCTGCCTTCTCGCAACTTGGCACGGCGGGAGTTAGCGTGTGCGATCAGAGCAGCGAAGCCCTCAGACGGAAATATTAGAAATATCCACGAGGATATAAGAGCCAGGCCTTACACGCCCATCGTGTGCATCGATTTATGGGATGCGCTCCTACACACAGCCAAGAAACACAGGCGTGGGCGTGTATCTGTAAAAGTGTACAAGCGCCGACGCGCAGGTGCGTGCTAAAACACACCTGTGTGCGTGCGCGCACACGCACACACAAACACACCGTGCCAAAGCACGGCCGTGTAGCTACACACGCTCAAGTACACACACCAGCAGACCCGGTGCCCGCACACCGCTCTCTTTCCACCCCCGGATACCCAGACGCACACCTGTGCACAGGTGCATACCGACACCCACATCCATCCGTCCGTCCGTCCATCTGTCCGTCCACAGGCACACTCACGGGCTCTGCCTCCAAACCACCGTACGCCCACCTTCCCCCC